CCACCACCACTACCACCACCACCACCACCACCACCATCACCACCAGCACAGCGAATACGTGCACCAGATGCGGAAAGTTATAATGAAGCGTTGAAAACCTTGTTGAAACTGCGGATTAGTAGTTGCCTGATTAGGACTGTTGCTTGTCCGATGCAATGATTTCTAGGTTCAATCGGAGATGAATTAGGGATTGCACAGAAGATTTTTTCCTCATCCCCGTAAAGGTACGAACACTTCAGAAGGGTGTGTGTGTGTGTGTATGTTGCGCTAAACATTATTTCAACTAGTGGGAATCATACTGCTACTTGCAGTTCATTCATTATCTTCCCTCGATAGAGCAGTCCAGTATATAAAGCAGTGTGTCAGTGTTCTGAATGAAACGTAGTCATATACAGGTGTTGATCAAACTCATGCAACATCACTCTCATTTCAGAAATACATTTCAGTTTGCGACATCCTTATTGTATATTGATGGTTATAGGTAAAGTGTATTTATTCTTGATTTTATCTTCCACATCTGCGTCTTTAGTTCTCTTCTATCGCCATTGGAATATGCGCTACCTTGAGTGTTGCGATAAAATTTGTAGTATTTCGAAAGCTACGGTTCAGATTTCGAAAATATTTTGTGCAACGCAACATGGTAATTTATTCTTCTTGATAAATGATTCCAGTTCCACGAGAGTGTTTATTACTTTGAGCACACGTATTCTAAATCGCTTATCTCTTTTCATTCAGTGCACAGTAAATAAGTAAATTAATGAAAACATGACAACTTAGATAAATTGATAAATTATTTGGCTACAATTTACTCAAGAATTATTCACAATACTTGAAGAACAGAAAACATAGTCCAAGAAACATTCAAGTTAAGCTTTGAAAGTGGACCTTGAAGTGTGTGGCTCGTTGAATAGGCGTTCTGTAGTGTCACCATACCCAAACCGGATGAAACATTCAAAAGGTTTTGGCATACAATTGAGACCTACAGGTAACTTAATTGTGAGACACATAGCTCGGATGACTCAGTTCCTGACATCAGCAAATGCTTTGATGTGAACGTAAGCCCACTTTATTGCACAATCAACGAAATTTCTCCATCAAGACATAAGCCGAGAGGAAGTTAACCGATCGTATCAAATCAAGACGATGGTTGTGTTTGCTGGTAGCAGATAAGAGTTGCACCAAACGAATGTGGAGGATAGCCCGGGCTGATTAGCCGTGTTTTCCTCACGCTTTTGATTAGAAAACCATGGCTTAATTCAAAGTGCAGCTGCGGCTACATTATATGCAGGCATTATGGAACGCCCAACAAAACAAAGCATGTATTAATTTTATCAACTACTTCAACTTGCGTCGTCCGTTCAATTGGTAATGGGTTCATCTCACCGGTGGCCGACGAGCAATTCAGCATGCGGTGAAAGCTGATCAACTGAACTAGTTTTCTAGTGAAATCCATTTTACCTGTCAAAAAACGTGAATATCCTTCCCGACTGACGCGTTGAAATGGAAGCAATTGCTGAATGTCTTGTTATTGGTTTCCTGTTCACACCAAGCTGGATATCGCAAAATGTGGTGCAGTGATAAGAGAGTTTTTCGGTGATTACCGCTCTTTAACTGCACTCACGGAAGTCATATTTTTCACAGATGAAGTCTGCTATATCTTCCCACTTGAAGTTCATAGTAAAAACCGGTTAGACCTAATTAAATATTATTTCTTCACATTTAACCAGTCTCTGGAGGGGTCAAGTTGATTGTCAAATTCATTCAATTTTTGCGCAGAAACTGGGATTTTAATTTAATCGAAAACTTCTCGCTGTACCACAAACATGGATAAGTTAGCTGCCTCAACATCGATCGCCAAACGTTAGGGTATGGGGTGTATTAGAGGAAACTGGCAGATTCAGTTTGGCAGTCAACTTGGCGGACTCCATGCTAAAACGACTGTGTTCAGTGCTCACAAACGAAGAAGGGTAAATAGAACATAGATGAAAAGAAAGTACAATATCTCTATGAAGTCTATGAGTCCAGTTACGTTTTCTACTGTGACTTTTTATTTTACAATTGATGCACCAGCAGCCATAGTTAAAATCGCGAAATCGTTCATTTTAATGGCACGTGGCTAATAGAAACAGATACACAAGTGGGTATTATATCACATGTTGGGTCTGATATGGAGAATATAATATTCAATCCCGTATGAGGCTGGAACTACGAAGCATTGAACAGAACGAATGTGATGAAAATCAGGATGTTCCACAAGTTTGGTCAGCATTTGTTCATCACTAATCGCCAACAGCTGATTTGTCTCGGCCGCATTATCGCACGTTCTCCTGTTAACGTACCACCATTGCCACAGTCTGTATGACTCCCAAAAGCACTACTTACCCCGAGCAAATGCATTAACAAGGGCCCGCAGTTCCAAGTGCATTAGACAGTATTTCTGTTCCAAGCAGATGGAGTGAACATTGGACTATGACCTATTTGCATTCAAACTGCCCATTCGGACTGGCTGTGTTTACACGATCAACTATGACTTCTGCAGATATGGTTGCGTAGAATTTCGTTCATGAATGACCAGGATATGGATTGGAATATTCCTTCCCTTTAAGTAATAAACGTACATTTTTCAATAAGTATTATCTCCTCATAGATGCACTTGTCAGCATTAGAACAAAAACCGTCCACGTAATATTGCTAATAATTCTCTGATTTATAGCGGAGGAAGTGGTAATTTATATTCTGTCTCAATGCCGGTGTTGTCTATCTGAGTGGTATGTAAACTTCAATCTGTCATTGGGTTACTGTCTCAAATGAGATCATTTTTCACAGTAAGCTTGTTCAATTCGTCTTTCATTCAAAACTTTGGTCAAAGATCTATCGCAAAAACAAAAAAACATTATTCGGTATTTGCTTTTCAAATTATCTATCCTTTTCTATCATTGTAGTTCAAATAAAACAATCTCTTCATGTGAAATTGCTATGATGAATATCACCGGAATCTTGTAACAGACATTCTTATACTCATGGAAAAATCTAGTTTTTTTCTAATCATTTGATTCCAGAAATTTGGTGAAAGAATTCAGCATCTCATAGCTATCGCTCTAATTGTGGAAATTTGTTCAAATTGCCCTCGGATATAACCTAAACTATATGATAGGGAGTTTAGATTTCAGATGCCGAATCTCTGGTTCTCCCTTCAAACAAATCTTCATTTACGTTTATGGATAAGGAATCCACTTTGGTCTTATCCATCTCGACCAATTTTCGTTCGAATGCACCAGTCACAAATAACGTCTTTTTGTCGCCCGTAATCAAAACCACCACTACCACCACCACCGCCACCACCACCACCACCAAACAACAACAAAAAAAGCTCACT